ATACACAATTGTGACGTCATCCGTGGTAAACGCTATTCATCAATACGACAGCATCTGTAATGGGCACATCGTGCTCATGTCGTAAACCAAACTWCTGTGCAAACACAACTTTAATGAATTCAAACATCTACGAATACGAAACTAATAACTCACCAGTTTCGCGCTACATTGTAAATATGATTTAAAAAAACACTTACTTCATTTAGGAATTGGACCCGTCGTTATAGTAACACGTTGTTGAAAATCCCTTTCCAAACCCCAGGCAACCGAGTGACAAAGAGAAATTAGTTTTACGATTTATTGTTGTGCGTAGATTGTCGTTCATTAACCATTATGAGTTGATTTTACTTTTCATTAATTTGAAAAATTTTGGTTAARATCATAGTAAAAGGGAAAAATGGATCTTGACCTTTACATCTCAATTAAGTTTTTCTCTTATTTTCAGTGTCTTCCTCTCCTTTCTTCTTAAATCATTTTCACTTATCTATTCTATTATTTCTTAATTCGTTTTGTTTACACCGTATGTAGCTTTTTCTTTCCTTTCTTTTCCTTTCTTTCTATTTCCATTCTTAAAAAACTKATTTATCTGAGTTCCAGATGGCAGGATTAGATTCCACGACCTTCCGTAATCTAGTTAAACTCAGATTACTCCGATTTACTCTGGTTTACTCGATTACTCTGGTTTACTCCGATGAAGGACCAACGTCCGAAACGTCAGTTTCATTTTTACATACCATACGGTGTTACAAATTATCTATCTATCAACTGTTTTAGTTAAACTCAGACTTTCTCTGATTTCTACTTTTTGTCACTTCTCGTCTTTTCATTTATTTACTCTACTCCCACCCCCGTTCTTGCTAAACCTTCCCTCCCCTCCCCTCCCCTCCTCTTTTCATTCACTCCTCATACRATATACCCGTCCTTCAGACTTCTCAAATACATGTCTCTATTTGTCAGGTGCCAGATGAGCAACCACCATCAGAAAAACCGGAATAATAATCTCAACAATACGAGAATCTAATTMCACGGTTACGGCGAGTGTTAAAGAAACCATTTCCCTACATTTTAATTGCACAAAAGAAACCCTGCTTGTAAATATGCCTAGGAKATTGCTTAGGTAAAGACGAGTATTGACCACCTCTAAGGCAGTCTGAGACTTATGTAAATAGTTATGTTTTAGAGCTAGCTGAACGTGTTTCATGGTACATGATGGTGCAATATTTATTTACTAATATGCACTATCTGTTCATGTACTCTTGCACGCATTCTGTTTTTGCGTGGTTCTAACTTTATTCTTGTAAAAGAAAGAAATTTTACAATTGAAATGAAAAATATATCTCAAATCTAATTACAGTTTGTATTTATTARTTACAGCTTTTCTAAAAAAAAGGTTGCCCCGCGAAAAATGAATACTGCAAGACAAAGTATATTGAGTATTAACTCAGCGAGGGTATTTGTACTCAATATGTCTTGTATAAATACAGAATATATGTCTTTAATCTTACCTAGATTATTCAGATAATGGCGCGGTAGTATGCAATTTTCCGTAATCACAATATTACCTTTCTTTTGTGTTAATTTTGATATACAAATCGCGAATTGCGCGCGCTTCAGTATTTTGTCGCGCGGCTCTTGGGCAATTTGAATAATTATATAAATTTGAGGGGCTTCCAAATTTTTTAGGCAAAGACAATTCCTAAATGCGCACCTTTRCACAGTACGACACTACGTACAGAAGTGTGCATTTATCTTTTTACGAGTCATTCGACTAMTGCAAGATGACACTCCATTTCCGATTTTCTAAAATTCCGTTTAACTAAACACGGCCTTCTACCCGATTTTATTCTAGGTTATTTAGAATAACCTTGAAAAAATTTAAATACCGCAATAAATAYCGGCCCCATAACGCATAGTAAACCTAATAAAATATCTTGTAAGAACACAAGAATTTCATGTGTTTTGAACCGGAKATATTGGTTCCTAATAACCTAAATATGTATCGTCCTTTCTTGGGTAAAGAACATTGATAAACCATTCGTTCTTCCATCTTCTCTTCTTTGACAGTCGGTAGCTTCTCCTCGGAATCGTCCAACAATTCTGCTCTCAGTTCTACYCCGTTTGGATTCAGGAATGTTATGACAACAGACCCATCATAGACTGCGATGTTCTCTCGATTRCTTTCCAGTCTTAAGCCCCATAGCCTGAAAGACTCATCGAGATGGGGAAAYCCAGCTCGTTCTCCAAGTCCCCTACAGCTAAACACTGAATATTTACAAAGTAACTCGGGCTTGGAGCCAGGACCTTCACGACCATAAACGTCCAGCTGATAAAGCCCTGCTTCTGGGGTGTGAACAGATACCTTAGTCTGTCCACCGCTTCTTTCCGCAAAGCATAAGTCACTTGGCAGATCTTCTTCGTTTTGTCTTAAAGTTGAACTTAAAAGAATACTTCCAGGAGTCTCGATAGTGATTGATGCACGTCCAGTATCCGTAGAGATATTCTCAAACTGATCGACAAGTCTAAGTTTCCACTTTCTAAACATGTCCGTTAGCTCTGGAAATCCAGGATTTTCAGACGGCGCGCTGTGGGATTTAATCTTATACGACGCCAATAAAAYCTTCTTAATTTTCTTGCCTCTTCGTCCAAAAATGTTCAGTTTGAAAAGCCCCGGTGTGGGAGTGTTTATAGCGATTTCCCTTCCATTATCCGTCTCTTTAGTAATACACATCCCTGGAATGTTCTTCTTGTCTTCCCCAATCAGCTTGCAAAAAATGTCAACATTCTTAGAAGTCTTCATCAAGATAAYGGTTCTTCCATTTCTAGTGCTTATGTTCTGAAGCGGTTCTACTAAAGTCAAACCCCACGAAAAGAAGGCGTCTGAGAGCCGTGGGAACCCCGGGTTTTCGTTTGCTGCCTTGAGGGATTTAGTCACATAGGAACAGAGAGTTTCTCTGTCTTTCTTTCCTTCTTGTCTCCCAAAGATTTCGACTTTGAAAATCCCTGAATCTGGAGTATGGACAAGGACGGTACTCTCACTCTTCTCTTCATCATACTCTCCCGTAAAACACATATCGGAGTATTCTTCTTCTCCTTTCTTGAGAACGGCTTGGAGACGGATATTCTTGGGATGTCGCAAGGTGATTGAGGCTTTGCCATCTTGAACCTCGAAATTTTCATGTTTGTCGACGAGTTGGATTCCCAGCGATCTGAAGGTGTCCGAGACTTKAGGAAAGCCTGGTACTGGGATGACACCGCTGAAGGCATTGATGAAATACGTGCACAGATACTGTCCTTGGGAAAGTTTGGGTCGCTCACCGTAGATATCAAGCTTATAGCTTCCCATCTGTGGAACATGAACTTTGATTTTAAAAATTTGTCCTCTTTTTTCTACAAAACATAAACAAGTGTCTTGTACGTCCTCTTTGAGTTCAGTGGATTCAGGMATACACGACAGCCGAGAAAGCTTGGCCTTGAGATTCGTGAACTCGTTCTTGTAATAACTAATGTAGACCAACACTCTTCCGTTGTCAGATTCGATGTTCTGTGTGGGTTTTTCGAGCTCAAATCCAAGAGAGTAAAACTGTGTCGCAACGCTTGGGAATCCACCAGTGTTGTGCCCAATGCCATCAGTTGTGTTGATTCTATATTCTACTCCTTTYTTCCACTCGCCCCGTGACCCCAAAACACAAACTTCCAATATATAATCACCAGGTTCTGGAAAATAGGCTTGTAGCCTTGTCTTGCCAGACTCTAGTGACATCATTTGAACGAGATTTCTTGGCCCTAGCGAATTCCCGGAAGCATCTTTTAAGAATCCTTTTAAGATGTGCTTGGCAGGAGAAATAAAATATATGACAATGTTGTCGGTATCAATGGTGTGTCGACAGGTCTTGTGGCTCTCTAGTCGGACTCCACTSTTGTATAGAGTAGCCGAAGGAACAGCGAGTTCCTCGAAGGTGTCCTTACTGATRGCTCTGTCAAGGAGCTGCCATTTTTCTTCGTCTGGAAAATGATCCGTTATTGCCARGTCTGGTGGCACCATGAAACTCTCAACGTTTGGTGMTTTGTGAAACATCATATCGTCACCAAAGTACCCCGAGCCTAAAGTACAATCACAAATGAACCACTGTCCGCCAACACGAATCACATTCCACACGTGCCTGCCTTGTACGTCCAGTATACTCTCCCCTACTTTGTATCCGTATCCCTTTGTRATACCATGGACAGTTCGCGTTGGGATAYTAGATGYAGAGCAGAGAGCTTCAAATAGATTAGCAAACCCTTCGGAGACCGACGCTCTGTTTTCCAGTACGYTTTCTGCATCGCATGCCAACATGTTTTCCTTACCGAAATGCCCGTTGGAATCGAAGGAGATGTACAAAGTAACCCAACGATAGATAGCAAAGGCTTTATTCCTTTGCACACACTCCCATGGCTCTGTCAAGAAACTACTTAGACTCTCGATACTCGCCATTGCACTTTCCGGAGTACTACGAACATTTTTGTCGATCATTCTTTCAATATCTTGTCCAAGTTCCAGTTTTTTCTCGTAGATTCCTTTCAAATAGCGACGAATATTTGTTTGAATAAATACGACTGTTTGTGCAGCGATCTTCATTGTTGTTTTSGAATTGTAATTTTGATCAGATTCGTCGAGCGGAAAAACCGTCGTCGAACGAGCGAAAACTCCTCGTTTCGGATGACATATGAAATACTGTATGCCTTCGTAGCTACCATTATGCCCCTGATCGATTTCCTTATCCATTTCTATACCAATCCAATCTCCCTGCCCCAACTCGGTCGCGCCAGTGAACTTCACYGTCCCTACATAGCCACGTACATGAACACGGTCGCCGATGTGAAACGTTCGTATTTGAGTCGGGCTTCTCAGAGTCGAGGGTACGGAGACTTCTTCTTCGTCTAAAGGCTGCAGAAACCTCATTTCCAAACTTGGTTGTTTCCATAACCTTTGCTGGCTATTTGAAATAACCTTTTGGTTCGACTTTAAAGGTTTTTTCTCTGGAGGAGTCGKGATAGCTGACGATGTTAGTGATTTTGAGCTTCCACATCCCATTTCCACAAGCTTTAGCCCTTCAGAAGATGAAGGACTTCAAAAAATAWACAGTTGAAACGTGGCGAACAAATGCTATCAATAAACTCAGCTCGCCTTGCGGGGTTCTTAGCGACCCAGTACTTGCCAACTTTAAAAAAATATTGCTAATTGCCAAATTACCGAGTTCAAGATTTATAGCTTTAGTTAACGATCAAAGATCTATAGTCGACTTGAGCTTCCATTCGATTCCAGTTGAGTAAACACAAGGTATTTTAAGTTAAAGATTGCACTTTGTGTTTAAAATACGTGGAGTATCTTTTCGATGTTTCAAGGTAAACAAATCCATGAAAAATCCTGTGGTAAAATAATAACACAGCAGGAAATAAGATTCACTGAACGGAATAGAATTAGCAGTTCCTCTTCCCAAAATCTGCTTGAAATATTTGGTTCTTTAAGATAACAAGGACAGCATTCTCTTGTTTTCTYTTGTCGTTATGGAAGTCCTTCACTGGCATCTCCGTTTGAATTTAGGCTGCTAAAAGCTTCTGTGAAGTTTAGAAGTCATACGACCACCATGTCGTATCATAGGTACTAGGAAAGGTAATAGTTYTAATGATTCTTGGCCTTTTTTCCTCGAAGTCTGTAGTATCTGGCTTTTTTCCACACACGAGAACTTCTCGTTTTAAATCTCATAGAGACTATATTAAAAATCATCTAACTTTGAGTTCCGAATTTCTATTTACATAAAGTCCAAAATGAATGGTCCTSATTGGTTCTTAGATCACCTGCTATGGACTTCCAAGTGATATATTAAAACATATCCCCAAAAACGCGAAAAAAACTCAGACGCCACTTAGCAATAAATAATGCCTTGAGCCATATATCTTACTAGATGTCGACGAAATATCATGCTAGTTCAACTTTTTTGGGGGCTAGAAAATTCTAGAATTTCCAATGTATGTCAATGCCGATTCCAAATGCTATAYAATTTATAAAAATATACAATGTTACAAATGCTGTTTGTCGCGTCAAGTAATGAAACAGTGTTTGCCAAAGACTATAGCGTTACTAGGCGACCTGCGTTACTTAGAGGCGGGAAGGCACTTTCGTCATCASTTCATTTCAGAGTTGAATACACTGAAGACAAAAAGTTCTATAGCTACTCTGGTATCGCCTCAGGGAACAACGGAATTAGTTTTAAAAGCTACGAGACAACATTCGTAAATATCCAAAAATATTTTGGACTGAAAAAAAAAAAGAAGAGCAAAGTAAAAACGCTACGGGGAAAGTTGCGGTGATTATGAAAATTATGAAGTTTCTGTTGGTCGTGGGAGTTATTATAGGAAAACMAAAACAYCTTGAAAATAAGAAAAGTTATTATYATCATCATAAGTTATTCAGTGACAACGTAAACAACGGTCCGGAGTAATTATGGTTATATTCACTAGGTCGTTAGCCCGATTAGTAATCCATGAGGATTAGGATGAAACAAAGAAGAGAATGAAATGAAGGAGATGACGAAGAAGAAAACAACAACAGAAGAAAACTAAGAAGTGGAAAAATTGGCGTTTTTGTTGCTTCTTATTCTTTCTATTTCTTTCTTTTTTCGCCAAAAAAAGTTGAAATTACTGCCAGAATATATATCCCCGAGCGAAAAGGCTTCAAACCATGATATTTCTTTCTTGTTCCTCTACTTTTCTGTGTCTTTTTCTTCGTTTCCTATCCTTTTTCCCTCTTCCCCCTTTCCATTTCCTCTCCATAARTGCTTAGCTCGGTTACTATAGCAACATTCGGAAACATGATGTCGCTCAATCAATGGAAGCCTGGAGCGTTTGTTATGAAACCGGAGACTTGCACYGTATAGGATGGGATATATTGTGGGAGTTTGAAGTATGATAAGGCAATTCAAGTACCTGCTGGCTATATTCATGCCTATGATTCGTCACGTCTTCTGCCGAGAACTGAGAGCGCTTCTCGAGATCTYTACACAGCCTACAAAATTGAACGGGAAACATCCATAAATAGATAAGCCTTAACAAAAAACAAAAAATAAAAAAAAAATTAAAAAAAATCGATTTCAAGAGATTTTTACAGTCTCGAAGGTCTTAGAAACTTATGAAAAAGTCGATGAAATTAAATTTAATGTTTAGAGCAATCAGTTATATCAACCGTAGATATCTACATCATCATTATCATCTACTCACCTTTTATAAGCTATTGCGGCTGCCATTAAAACTAATAAAAAAAACAGTTCCAGGTCGACTTGATGTTGATAGACCTAAACATGGATGAAACACTAAACGTTTCACAGTTCAACCCAAATTTAGCGAACCCCAYATGCCCAGAGTTTACTATAGAGATCTTATTTCATTTTATTAACAAAAATGCCGCAGAGGTGTAATCTAGGAAAAAATAAAACCATCAAAACGCATGGTAAAGCTCATTTCGCGCTACGAAGATACCGCTGTGCACAAGTATGACGTACGCTAGCGATCTAAATGCCTATCTAAATGAGATTACATGTAATGGAAAACAAAAAGTACATCTTAATCTGGAAATATATTTTAATTACAATGAAAAATCCAGGGGGGTACCCAGGGGAGAGTTATAGGGGTCACAMCCCTCCCCTCACCCCATTATTAACTTCTAAATCAGTAAAATTGYCGTATAAATTARCTGTCTTGAACTGGAGTGAACACTTGCGAACGGGTCGGAATGCCTCAATACACCCATTCAGTTYGGATGCAACATTTTGGGCCTYATTCAGACCACGTGTCATTCTTTTGAGAATGATTTATTTCCTTACTCAAAAGAATAATGTAWGGAGATAAGCTAAYATGGAAGCAACTCAAACAAAGAAATAATACACAAGGGAATGAAGCGTGGACTGAAGTGGGGAAACACTGCACCCAAGCTGGAAAGGTCTATTCCAACAGGCAAGTGCAGCCGTTTAAAAATAGTGGGAAAATATTTATAATCAACTTAAAGTTCTATGATTGAGTCTTGAGAATCAGATTCAAAAATCCACTCCTTCAACCTCTCCTTTGTTATCAACTTCGTTGTACTTGACCCAGTCTCTGGCWATTGGAGCATTAAGCATTGTATCTGACATCCCAAATGCATCACAGAGAGCAAGAGCCTGCGGTGCCACCTCCCGACACAGGTYAGCAGCTACCCTTCCAACATTAGCACCATTACCMGTTGACATTAGTCCAGAGGTRGTGAAATATCCAAGGTCCCTCTTGATGACTGACAMTTGATAAAGATGATGAAGTTTGCCAAGGACTCTTTGTAAACCTGGATCAGCCTTGTCGATGGCTTTGCCAAAACACTCACTAATAAGCCGTTCGCCATAAGCACGTGCAGCAGCTTGGACTAAATCTTGCTCTTTGTACATCCAGGTGTCAAACCTGTTTTTCTTTCCTGCCCGCATCATTTTCATCCCCAGTTCTAAAAATAGAACTTTCTCACGTGACTCAAGTAGTGCGTGGAGAGACTTCCGGTTGTACAGGTCCACACGGTTAAACATTCGAGTAAGAAAACTAGGTAAATAGCTTGCTGCAACTTGGATTATGGATGGCTTAAGGACCATTAGTTTTTCTGAAGCAACTTTCTGCATTAAGACTGAGTTGTCCCCTTCTGCTGTCATGGAGGAGTGTGAGCCTGCAATTCCACTGCCAAATCGGTTGCAAGAGAGGTACCCTTGACCCCCACACCTTTCACGACTGATAGCAGCTGCCTCAGCCACATTCCATCCGGTCAATGCCTTGATGACACAGCACATGATCACTACCTCT